ATTAGATGTCAAATTTAAATCACTAAATAACATATCAGAAATATTGATCAGGCTCTTTATTTATTAAACCAGCAATGAGACATGAAAACAGTTTGTGATCATAAAAAACATTTTTGTACATGTTTATCCTTCAAGTGTACCACCTGTGCCACTGTAATATGTTTTATCATCCATCTCAAGTATATGTATGTTTTAATAACCGTTGATTTTATTGTATTTTTCCACTTTAATCACTAAACTGTGATTTTGCAGTGAGCCGTGAGTAACAGACGTACAGTACAGATTTACTGCTGCAGAAGCCTTTGATGCTGATATTTACTGAAGCCCAAAGCGAAGATGAAACCTGCAGATGAGTCGGTTTGTGACTTAGTGCCATTTTGCAAAAAAAAAAAAAAAAACTGAATGAAAGTAACCAAAACTAATCAACATCAGAACAAAGGAAGCAGTGCAGGAATGCAAACTGAGCCTTCAAAGTGTTTCTGTGTAACATAAATTAACCCACTCGGTTATTGTCGTTATAAAATCGGATAATATCGAGTTCTATCTTTTTATATATGATTCTAGATATTTTTGAGCATGTGCAAACAAAGCGATGGTGCACATCACTGAATAAAAGCGGTGTTTTTCTCTCCATTAGGAGCTAAACATTCGTTCACAAGCAGGAGGAGAATACGCGGAAAGATAATGACTTTGATTTGTGATTTCTTCTGTTCCATCAGCCCTCTCAGCCCGTGGCGCCTGTCCCTTAGGCAAACAGCAGACAGTAAACAAAAGCAAATCCACTTCAAACATCCAGGCCCCCCACTCGGATGAAGAGATGCAGTGGGTCTCCTTCCTGTCATCTGCTGTTAGTCGGGCTATTTATCAAAACATCGGCTGCAGGCTGAGTGGAAGCAAGTAACCAAGAGGCCTGCTTTGGCTCTGCTTCGCTCTTTCTAAACGTGCAGCGTGTCAGGGTGTAAACAAGTGCCGCAGCAGCTCATCATCCTGTGAGGTTTTCCCGTCGAAGGGCAAGCGAGCGTTAACCTATTCAATAACACGCTGACTGTGTTATTACCTGAATTAGATTTATGTCCCATTAGCCTCACTGACAGGGACCACTTCTCCTCATCCTTATTCACTGGTCCTTGTTACAAATATCAATAAACACCAAAAACGGAGAACAGAGAGGGACAGTGACACACTGCATTAGGTTGTTCACCTTAATATTCAGCAGCTTATTCTCTTATTTGCATAAACAAGAATGTAAACATCCCAAACATGTCACAAATTTAAAAATACTCCCTAATGGGACGCACGGTCGAAAATGCCCTTGTTTTCAGTTTCTGACATTTCTAATAGTTTCCACTTCATCCATTTCAGATAGCTGGACCAGATATGATGCATCATTTAGTTGGAGAATTTGTGATTTAATCTACACTCACTGGAAAATGTACAAGCTCCTTGCTTTTACCGAATTAGACCTCTGTTTAAGTTCTTCCTGGCAGAGTTTCAAGGTGCTGGAAACATTCCTCAGAGATTTTGGTCCGTGTTGATGTGATGGCATCACACCGTTGCTGCAGATTAGAGGGATGCACATCCATGATGACATCTGCTGTTCCACCACATCCCATATGTGCTCTACTGGACTGCGATCTGGTGACTATGGAGGCCATGCTCAAGTAACCGATTTGCTGGATTCTTCAACATCGTCATCCCGCTGGAAGCCGCCATAAGAAGATGGTATCCTGTGGTCATAAAGGGATTGACATGGTGGCATGTTTTAACAATGTTCGGTTGCTACAAGAGGCTCAAAGTATGCCACAAGCAGCAGCCTGAACTGTGAATACAAGGCAGGAGGGATGCATGATGCCATGTTGTTTATGCCGAATTTTGACCCTACCATCTGAATGTCACCACAGAAGTCGAGACTGAACATTTTTCCAATCTTCTACTGTCCAATTTTGATGAGCCTCAGTTTCCTGTACTCAGATGACAGTACTGTGGTGCTTCAGGAAGAAGCTCTTCTGCCTGTGGGAATCCCAGCAGTTACTGAAACACCCGGACCAGACCGTCTGGTATCACCACAGCATGGTCAAAGTCACTTAAATCACTTGCTGCCATGTGATTGGGCGATTAAATTCGCAAGCAGTTGAACATACAGGTATGGACAGGTTATGGTCCTGATGTGGACCAAAATAATGGTAAAACTTGGTTGTATAAGGCCTGTTTTTAGATCAACTAAAGATCTCAAGGAATATTAGATTCAGCAGTTCAAACCAGTTCATAAAGCCAACAAACTAGAATAACAGTCAGGCACTAGATGCAGGTGTAATTATAAATCACAGAGTCATAACTGATTGTACTGACATGAATTCCAGTCAGTTATGGATCTGTGGTGCATACTGCTCGTGACTTTAGGGCACAGTTGAACTATGACGGTACGAATGTGTGGCGTCTCTGTTTGAGGGGAAAGAAGAATAGGAGGAGACGTGATCATAAAACAAGAAAGTGAAGAAAAATCTATTTCAGGACTAATCGAATGATGATGTTATTTAATCTCTCGCCTTGATCTTCTGATCTGCACAAACGTTCATGTAATACAGCCACCACTGGGTATGTGCTTGTTCAGAACTCGTACAGTAATTACAGTCTCATTCAGCAGCAGGCGGTGGATGCACACACACACGCACACACACACGTACAGCTCACACTTAATTATATAACGAGACAAATTATTATTCTCAAATCTTGTAGCCTGTGACCCCAATTAAACTAGAAGTGTGTTTAGAGCATGAAATATGACACTTAGATGAAAACAAGACTAATACACACACACACACACAGACACGTTAGCTGCAGTCACAGTTTGCTGATGGGTCCAACAAGCACACAGAAGTAAAAGATGACGCCATAAACCAATCCCTCCAGACCCCAGTCTTCCCACTCAGCAGCCATGTTGGTAGCAACACCTGACTGTAATTTTGAAGTGCTTATTTAAAGAAATACAGTGTGACAAAGTTTACAGGTAGATCTACGTTCCCACCCTCACTATGACCATCACCTTCGGTAACTTTGGTAACTGAATGTGACCGTAAAGAATGAAACTGAGAGTCCAAGCGGCAGAAATGAGGGCTGAAAACAAGTCGCTTGTTGCGCATTGCTTTGAAGCTGACGGCGTTTGTAGTCGAGGTTTCAGCTGCCTAGCTAACCTTCTCATATATTGCTAATCTCCTCAGGTCACATCATCAGTATTCACTTCTCTCATTGGTCACGCCCAATTTGTTACAGAATGTCATTCACGTTGTATCGTCTTGGTCACAACGTCATTCCCAGTGTGGATGCAGCTTAAGGCCTCAGTCCTGCAGACCAGCTGGTTTGTGAGTGGAAAAATTCCAGTCAGTATGCGAGTAGTTGCTAGAGGTTGCCGGGTGTTGCTAGATGTAATTGGTCACAAAGAGTCTGCTGCAGTATACAAAAACTCCATGTTAACTGCTTTGGTCACTAGCATGTACTTAGAATTGTGACCAATTTCATGCAAGCAACTTGCCAACAACCTCCAGCAACCAGTTGGCCAACAGTTGCCACCCAACTCGCCCACCAACTGGAGTTAGCCAAATGGTCGCAAACCTTTAAGCCTTTATGACTGCTGACTTAGACGTTGAGGATCTTTTGGCAGATAGGAGGTGCTAAGAGCCTCTACTCCTCCACATCAAAATGAGCCAGCTGAGGTGGTGCATTCATCCGACCTCCTGGACTGTCACAGGTGAGGTGTTACCAGCCAAACTCGGAACGAACTCCAGGGCAAACACAGTTTCTCTCTTTCATTAATGAACTTTGACCTGCTTGTCAGAGGATTAAGGTCTTAGCAGGTGAGGTTTACTGATGTTAGAAAATTAAATTAAGTAGAATTCATCTGGCATTAAAGTGTATGTAATGGAGATTTTTGCAGATGAGGTCACTTATGTCAGAAGAATGTCTGTGAAGTTTGGGAGAGTTTGGACTAGATTTCTTTGAGGTATATCAGTTTCATGTTTCATGGCAAAACATCAAAATTCACCAAGCTGCCGAGGTCACGCCCTCTTATGAAAACTCACTGTTTTGAATGTGACCTAAGACCAACTCCTTCAGGCTTCCCTGAACAAATTTGAGGTTGCTGGCATCAAGCGTCTTGAAACTGTAGCCCAAAGTGTAAAACATGACATTTCCTGTTCTCAGTAGGTGGCGCTGTGACCATTGTCAAATATGGCAGTTGAAATGTGTTCGGGGGGTGTAGCTTTATCACGTCTGAGAAGTTTGGTACAGATCGGTCAATGTATGTGGGAATAAGAGCCAATTATAATTTCAAAGCGAATGATTGAAATCCGCTGTGGCGCCACAGAAACGCCCTTAGGTGAAAACTCTAAAGTTCCACTATTTAATATGGCTCAGATCTGTAGTCTAGACTGACGAAATATGGAGCTGATCCGATAAAATCTCTAGGAGGAGTTTGCAACAGTACAACGCCTGGAAATGGCAAAATCTATGCCAAAATGTTACCTTCAATTCAAAATGGTGGTGGTGAGTTGGCACATGGGTCCAATAGACTTTTTGGTATATCTTGGGATGTTACACATGTGTACAAAATTTCATACATTTACGTAAAAGCCCAAGCAGGGGCTCATTTTTCCCCACTTTGTACGGGGCGCTACTGAGCCATTTTGCTGTGCCCAGGTCTCAAACCAGTGAGACCAGTAAATTTTCACCAGGCTTGACGCATGTGCAAAGTTTCATGAGTTTTCAAACATGTTAAAGCCCTCAAAAAGCCAATTCATTTGTCTGGATAATAACAAGAAGAACGGGAGCGATTACAATAGGGCATTCGCACTTTTAGTGCTCAGGCCTAATAATGGATTCAACTGAGCCATTTATTCACTGAATAAACTTCTGCCATTCTAGTCATTTCACAGAGCTGCTCCTTCGTACTTTAAAACATACAATAACCTTTTCTTCTCTCTCTGTCTTTATCTTTATCTCTGCAGATAGCTTGTCGCCTCCCGTCAATGTGACCATCAGAGAGGTAAAAGCAAACTCTGCTGTGGTGTCATGGGACATCCCCGAGGGAGACCCAGTCATTGGCTTTGCCATCACACAGCAGGTCGGTAACACTCTCTGTCCCCTCTATACCACTGTAACCATTAATGCTAATTACTGTGCTTATAAGCAGTAAAAAATACATATGGAAAAGCATTTAGCAGATTCAGGCAAGTTTTGGAGGGAATAAAATCATCCAAACCTTTTATTTATTGCAACTCATATTACAATTTTACAGCTAAAGATACAACTTTACTAGATACGCCTGTTCAACTCCTCATTAATGCAAAAATCTAAAGTTCAAACTGAGCAGCAGATGGAGTACAGCAGCAGAAGACTACACCGTCTGCCACTCCTGTCAGCCAAGTTCAGGATACTGAGGCTACATTTTACACCACATCACCAAAATTGGACAATAGAAGATTTCAAAAATGTTGCCTGGTCTGATGAGTCTCCTTTTCTGCTGTGACATTTGGGTGAAAGGGCCTGAATTTGGAGTAAAACAACATAAAAGTATGGCTCCATCCTGATTCGTATCAATGGTTCAGGCTCCTGGTGGTGTACCTAATAAAGTGTCCCCTGAGTGTACATGTAAATGTACTATAATGTAGGTAAATTCATTAATGCATGTAAAAGATTTCTTGAAGAAACTCCCAAACTAATTCAATTAAGTTGTGGCTTGTCACAGGTTATTGTCTGCCACCTCCATTTTCCTTTCCTGTGTTGCTCCCTCACTCCAAGTCAGAATGCATTATGGGAATCATCAGAGGATACAGCATCCTGTCGGACAGCCTGTCCCCTCGCTGACAGACTATGACAGCTGTGTGACAGGAGAAAAGTCAACATGCAAGCTTAGACACACATCTCTCGCACAACCACGCATTTACGTGGGACAAGTTGCCATCTCGTGGTTGTACAAACACACATATGCACCCGTCCACAGGAGACTGGAGTGACATGTTTGATGGCAGCACTGGAAGCTGGGAAATGTGTGGTTTAAAGCTATAAATAAAAGTTAATAATAAGAAACAATAGCAGAGGACATTCAGCTGCTTTGCAGTTGTTATTGTTCAGGCTGTTCTCATTCACTGGTCATCAAATCCCGCCGTTTTGTCAAAGCTGCTGCAGTCACAGAGATGTATACAATATCAGATGCGGTGTTATTTTAAAGTATGACAAGTTTGAAGCATTCAAAAAGGGTGGCGGTGGTTTTAATCAGTACTGTACAACTTCATCCTCTATCATATAGCAAACTCATCCTCCAAGTCTTGGCAAGAAAGGTAAAAGCATATTCACTCTTTATTTTCTATAACACTAACATGAAATGCACCTGACAATTATAACTTCAATTCAGAAGTCAAGCACAACTCAAGTGCTCCCAAAAGTCCTTATGGTTCTCCAACGTCTCCCTCCACACAGTTTTGTGTGGTTTTTCCAATGCTAACTGTGCTAACTGTGGTCGTTGTGACTGTGATTTTAAAACTGTTCCAGGCATCTCTTAACCAGAAACCAAAACAGTTTGCATCCCATCTTAAATCAGCATTTAACAATAAATGTCCAAAACACAGATGTTTAAATCCGGAGGTCAAACATAATGAGTATGGATATCACTTCAGGCTGAAGACAGATCTGAGAAACAACACAATTTAACAACTTAGAAATGTATTTAAATTTATTTTGTCTGTGTCCACAGGTAATGAATGATCCCCTGTCAAATTTAAATTGTGGTGTCCCTCAAGGCTCTCTCCTTGGCCCTCTTGTTTTATAAGCACACTTCCTCTCAGCGACTGTTTTGCCAACACTCTACTATCCAACAACACCAGCAGCGTTGGTAATCTACTTACCCACTTAACGGTGAAAACTAAACTCACCAAAGATAAATCTTAAAATTTACCACCTTGGCCCAAAATAAGCTTTTTTCATTCAGTCTGCTACCAACCTGGGAGCTGTTTTTGAAACCGATCTCTGTTTCAGCCCCCCTGGTTTAGCGCAACAAGAACAATTTCCAGAATTAGATCATTCTTGTCAGCTGCTGAGTTGCATTTATTTCACCCGCCTTGATTGAGGCTAAATGGACAGATACTTTACTTGGCTTTTATTTGAGCACCGAATGCGCTTTCTTACAACAAGCCTCCTTCAAGTGTGTTATTTTGTGCCTAGCTTTCACACGTACTCTCATGGATGCATTTGGATTTACAGATGCTCAGAAGCAGACTACAGTAGCCGGGGATTGCACCACCAACCTCGAGATTAGTAGACGATCCGCTCCTGAGTCATACCAGTCATCATAACTAAAGCATTTCCTTTGGGATTAATAAAGTTGTCTGATACTGATCCTGATTGTGATAAAAGGAGATAATACCTTTTATAACAGCATCAGTCAGAGCTCACATCACCAGCTCAAGCTGATCCAGAACTCTGCTGCGTGAATTTTAACTGGCACCATGAACACATCACTCCAGTTCTGGCAAATTTACACTGGCTGCCTGTTAAATGCCAAATTGATTTTAAAATCTTACTAATCACTTTTAAAGCACTAAATGGCCTTGCTCCAGAGTACATTAAAGATTTATTTACTTCTTATGTGCCTGGGTGTTAAATTGGTGAATGGTTATTCCAGCATCTTGGCTAGTAATCAAAGAGCTCCCAAGCGGCGGGACCACTGAGATCAGAGTAGCCACGTCTTGATTGTTTGGTTTTTTTTAAGTATTCTCGGGAGGGGGGGGGATTGATGTGCATATGTTTAATTTGTGTGAAAAACTTTGTAATTTTGAGAAAAGTGCTTTAAGAGTAAGTTTTTTGTAATTATAATTACCAACAAGACAGGAAAGACTGATACAGAGGATGGAAAAGTAACAAAGTCGGGAGGTCAAAGGAGGTGACCAAGAATTATAAAACTGTACACGGAAATAAAAAATGAACAGGCAAACCCAGAGCCACGGTCATTAAGTTTAATTTTAGTGAAATAAAGTGTGAGTGTGAACGCCGGTTGCATGTGTCTCTCTGTCACCCTCCAACAGAAGAAAGACGTGCGCATGCTGCGATTCATCCAGGAAGTCAACACCACCACGCGATCCTGTGCATTATGGGACTTGGAGGAAGAGACAGACTACATTGTGCATGTCCAGTCCATCTCCATGTCTGGGACGAGCCCACTGAGCGAACCGCTGCGCTTCCGGACGCCGAAGGAGGCCGAGACTCAGGCCTCTAAGAGTGAAGGTGAAGCGTGACAGCGCCACGCATGCATACGCATCCACACAAATACACTCCTTCACCCAACACGTCCACACTTAAAAGAAAAAAAACCCTGAATCTGTCGGTTTTCCAGACATGACTGCAGCAGGGACTTGGCCTTTTGGCAGCATTGTGACTGATTTTGTCCAAAGACCAATAAAAATCAATAGAAACACAAACCATGAAATGAAATTTCACAAGAAAGTGCTCTTGAAGCTTGCCCCCTCTAACCACAACTCAGGAGTAGAAGAGCTGAGAGGGATGCATACTTCACTGTGTATCGACTTGCCTTCGTGGCCTCACCCAGCACACGCTCTACACAACTGCACTGTAAACCAAAATGAGAAAAGGCATTTATCAGACGCAGGGAGGAAGCAGTGGGAGCTGTGAGGGGTGGGGAATCGATGCGCTTTTGGCTGAGGCGCTTCTCCAACTATTCTTCCTCTCATTTACACTCATGTCTCATGTGAGCTGCAGCTTCACTCCGATACTTCGCAAAATGTTGAGCCAGAAAGAGTCTGAACTTCTGTTCTGGTGTTGAGCGGGCTGGCAGAGGCATGTAGAACACAAAAACAATCATTGCAGAGCGGTGAGGCGATGCTCTCGCCACCGCCGAGGCCTAATTAGCACCGGATGTGTTGTCTGTGTGTTGTTTGTGTAGCTGAGAAGAATTTACAGAAATCAATAACAGCACAGATAAACGTGTGCGCTTTCATAGCAGCCTGTTCTCTTTCTGTCTGTGCACGTGCTCGTTTCTTTGAGGTTTCAGGACGCAGTAGCGGTTTTTGATACGGGCGACCGCCCGTGTCGCCCGGGGCGGCATCGTGGTGAGGGCGGCATCACGGACATCGGCAAAAAAAAATTAATTGCTCGTACTCATGCTGCCCCGACATCAGCCAGCGCATATTGGGAATGGCACAGGCACTGATCGGTTTTCTATCGCCCATTTGCTGGGAGTAAGGGCGCCCTCCGTTTGTGAGGTGCGCCTGCTGGAGAGGGCGGGGCGGCGGGGGATTCTCTGACCGGCTGGAGCAGCGTCTAATAACCAACTCGCAAAATAAAACAAAATAAAAACAAAACAACAAACACGAAAACACCAGACATCATGATACAGACTTATAATTTGCACCAATGTTTTTTCGAAATTCTGTACGCGAAAAGTGAGCGCGAGAGCCCTCAGTGCGCCTGCTCGCTGCTGAAGTCAAAGTAAACTTTATTACAGTCCAGTATATAGAGAGACAAGACGATGATGCTCCAGTTACAACAGTGCAAGTAAACAAACAATAAATATAAGAAGAGTAAGAAAATAAATATACACTTTAGGACTAGGGGTAAAGGGATCAATAACAATTTAAAATTTATATTTTATATTTTGATGATTTAATGTCTCACACACAACCCGTGGAAAGGGGTTCATAATGATGTAAATCCAAGCCCATTATGTATTCATGATTTGAATCCTGGGTTGTGTGAAATCCCAGAAATACACGCCAGAGGAAGTGTTTGCCCGGGGCGCCAAACAGGCTAGGACCGCCACTGTCAGGACGTATCTTCTCTCCTGCTGTTTTCAAAACCCTCAAAGGCAGAACAATGACTTCAAAATAAACACAAGTGCTTCGTATCCACAAGTGCACACTCTGAGTTTCACCAGGGGCAGAAAAATGTATTAAATTATAACTAAAAATAAAACTCGTCAAATTCTGTCAGTCCATAACTTTTGTTGACACAGCTGCTTTTAATCCATAAACCACAAAAGCTATTAAAGAACTTGAATCACCAGTATCAATCCAGTATAAATAATTTAGGTCATTTTGATTTGTTTATACAAGCTTAATGATCTAAATTATTTAGAATAGGGAAGAAACTTGATTTGGGCGACCCTTAACGTAACGTGGTGGTTGGTGTCCGACAGGCGGGTCTGAGTGTTTCAGAAACTGCTGCTGTGCTGGGATTTTCCCAGACAACCATCTCTAGGGTTTACAGAGAAACATCCCAAGGTAAAATATCTAGAGAACAGCAGTTCTGTGGACAACAGAAAACTGGGAATGTTGCCTGGTTTGAAATGTCATTTCCGGATCAAAGGTTAGCATAAACAACATGAAAGCATGGATTCATCTTGCCTTGTAGCAACAGTTTAGGCTTCTGGCACACTTTGGCCCTCTGAGTACCAACCGAGCATTGTCTAAAACACCACCACCAGTGTTGTTGCTGACCATGTTAATTCCAATCACAGTGTATCCAGCCAGCAAACTGGTAAGTTACATATGGCCTCCACAGTCACCAGATCTCAGTCCAACAGCAGACCTTTGTGATGTGCTAGAATGTGAGATTTGCATCATGGTGCAGCTGACAAATCTCCAACAAGTATTTGAGGCTGTCTGTGAGGAACGTTTTCCCCACCTTTTGAATCTGTGCCATGAAGAATTAAGGCAGTTCCAAAGGCAACAGGAGGTCAGTCCAACCTCCTGATCTGGATGAATCAGTGACATCTAACTTGAAAACGGGTGATAACAAGTGGACTTGCTTTACAATTGTTTTCCTACATGCAGCTGAAAAGCTTGCAAAAAGCATTTTAATTTTAAATGAGGACAAAAAGTGACCCAACTTAACCTCAGGATAGAGAAAGAGCTCCTGTCTTTATGCCGAGTTAACTTTCTCCTGGTATTTCCTTCACATTAACTTTTGTTGTTGCTCAGACTAATCAGGCGTGATGTAATTAGTAAGCTTTGGAAATGCAGGTAGGTGGATGTGGTTAGATTTTTACACAGAACACAGATAGATGAATCTTTGTATTCGCCGTACAGACAAGAGAATATTAGCAGTGTTCTCGTGTGACTTTCAGTAAGAGAGCAAATTATTTCCCAAAAGGTCAAGAAGCACGGGTCATGTCTGTGTTTCAGAGGGCGACCCCCCGCTTTCTTAAATGAGTCGGGTGCAGGAAGTCTGCCTCATCCAAAAATCTGCAGGTTTTGCACAAACACACACACAGAGCCCCTAATTTGCTGAAAAATGTTGCTTCACACATTTGAAACTATCACAAAGCAAATATCCACAGAGAGCACGTCTGTGATTCATCATCCTTCACTTCTACTCAATAACAGCTTCACGGTTTAGCGCGACGACACACATCCGTCTCTGTCTCATTTGCGCTGCTTGCTCAAGGATGTCTGTTTAATTAGCGTAGCTGTGTTGAAACAATAAAAGCTTTGATGGCAGATGAGAAGGTGTTCTTCAGTCAACATTTTGTAATTTATTAGAAAATCGCGTGGATAGGATTTGGGATCTAGTATCTAGTATGAAGGGTAATTTTAGTTTAGAGAGATCTTCTTAAATCCACCCAGATATGTTTGGCTTTTATGATTAAACACTTTGTCTTTCTCTAACAAGACAAATGGTCGCCATTTACCACTACATCATTTTTCGCTCATAATCCTGCCAATTTCCCTTCAGAAAAAATGGCTAAGCTGTGAGTCCAGACAGTGGGACGAGAGCTGTTCGCTTATTGAGAATGACTGACGGACAAAATGTGCCATGGAGAGAGAGAAGGAGTTTGTCTTTCACTGCAGATAAGTGCACAGGGTACAGAGTGTGGAGGGAGAGCGTCTCAGTGCTTCTCTTAGTCCTTTGTCTCTGTATGACAGGCGAATGTCCCGAGAAGCAGAGAGAGGCTTTCACCGTCCTCGCTCAGCTGCTCAGCCCTTCTGTTCTGCAGTATCACGTTGATCTCAGTGGAAAGAGCAAAGGATGAGCCTGAAATGCTGGATTATTCCGCATTTCTTCTCGTTTCCTCTTTCACAATGGGTTTAAGCTTCGGGAGATCAAAGGAAGTAAGAGAGAGATGAAGGGAGAGGGGGGGAACTGAACAACCTGTGCACAAAACAGCAGGAAGAGAGGAGGGGAAACAGAGAGTGGCTGACAGAAGCAGCCACGGCAATACAGGAGAGAGAAATCCTGAAAATTAAATTCTGCTGTCAGAAACACACTGTGTGTGTGTGTGCATGTGTGTAGGCTTGTTTACATATCTTTGTGAGGACCAAAAATTAAAATGTTACTATACTTGTGGGGACCAGCAGTCACTTGTGAGGACAAAAGAGCCTGTCCCCACGAGTTTGAAGGCATTTTTGAGGGTTAGGGTATGGGCCTAGGGTAAGCATTATGTCAATTAGATGTCCTCACTAAGACATCAAAACGAGAATGTGTGTGTGGGGGGGGCACAGATGTACCTGTGCAACCTCTCAAGGAAATTTACAGACTCGCAAACATGGAGAATAAATAGTTCTGGTGAAAAGGTTCATCGTCTCCTCAGATCTAATAAAGGTAGAAACTTCTCTCTCGAAGCCTAGGATTTAAAAAAAAAAAATTCTCTTTTGTCATGAAGAATTTTGATCTGTACGTGAAAACTGGGCTGCAGTAAAATACTGGAAGATATTTCCCTTAACAGCAACCGTCAGCTCAGCTGGAAGCCTGGAAAAACACTCCTGGGGTGTATTTTAAACTGAGTCACATAAAACAGAAGAAGGATCCTGTGGCTTTGGTGCTTTATAGAAATAAGTTGATTTTGATTTGGCAAAAATCAATCAGTTGCTTTCCTCCCAATAATGAAATAAGAAAAATCAATAGCAAGCGAAATTATATGCGTTAAGGAGGAAAGCTGGGATGTTTTTAGCCGACCTTAGCTTAAAACTTGAAACAGAAAGAATGATAACATATACCCAGCATGTATACATAAATATATGAGGTTGCACATGTGGTGGAATGAGACTGTGTATAAAAGTCTGGCTTGTTCTTTTATGAGGATCCATCTTGAGTGAAACATTTTCTTTATCTCCATCTCGTGTTTGGATACTGCGCAGCGGGAACCTGACAGAGAAACTGAGAGTATCGTGTAATCAGCACAACCCTGGACCTGGAAACCAGAAAGGGGGGGAAATGATTTTTTTCTTTTAAGCCAAAGCTGAGAAATCTGACTCGTTCTTCATCAAAAT